CCCTTCTATTAGAAGTCGTCTCATTAAAGTTTAGCATTTAGTAACAGAAATTGGGCTAGCTATCCTTTGGGATGGGTTCGCTCTCCGCTGCCAATAATGTAGTGTGGCACCCTGAGTCTTCCCTGAGGCCAGGAGAGGCCATTATACTGGGCTGGAAAACGTATTACAGAAGGACCGAAAGGCTAGATTCTACTGACATGGCTCGGAGGCCATGCCTCCCGGTAGAAGTACAATAGCGGAGTCGTAGGTGTTTGGGTAACAGAAACGACAAGTAAAACAAATCCTCAAAGCGGTAGAATAAAGGGGTACCTGTAAATTTCAGTTTCAAATTATTGATGAGTTTTCAAAGTCTGAAGCACCACCCTTTCATCAACATCGCTTAAGTATTTTTTAGTCACAAATCGTTCTGGAGCAGTGCATACATAACAGTGGTGTGTTAGAGATTTTGTTCCTTTTAAACCACATAAATTACACCCATTTCGCCAATATATTGACATTACCTGAGGGACCAACAAATGGCAAGCAGTAGACGAAAAATGCCAAATTTTTGGTTAAATTCTGCCCTAACTCAAACACTTCGACATCGCAGTGGGTAAATGTTAGAAATTAGATAGCTACAAAAATTAGTTGTTGGCCTTCAATTTGTGAGCATTAATAGTAAAACAATTTTGTCTGCAGACCACCTCCATTAATTTAGTGGAGATATTTTTGATGGTTCACAGCTAAAATAATTTGTCAATTTAGGACATGTCGGATGGCGCACCTTCTCTAAATGTTTCGAAACAACCCGTCCCAGGAAACTTCTACAGCTTTGGAAGCATACAAGTTTGAATTATGCCCTACAAGTTACAGGTCATTGAAGTGAGCCATTTAGACAGCTGACAGATGAAATTAAGAAAGCAAATCCTTATAATAAAGTAGCCGAGTGAGGAATTCCTGCATACATCTTCCATGCGTTCATATGTCACGCATTCATCAAGTCAAATAAACGAAGTTCAAGCCAAGATGCGATCGTTTAGCAACACATCAAAGCATTTTGGACTTGACACCTCTACTACAGAGGCCTAATACCGATTTCTAAACATGCGGCTATTAAATAGACACGTAAATCGGACTTCGGTTGACATGAAACACAGCTTATGTGGTACCGCCAGCATGAATTTCATAATTCGTAGTTTAAAATGCGGGCATGCCTATCCGGTTGGAACCGCTCCAGTGAACTCTAGGTGGCCATCATGGGTCTTATTCATCACTCATTTCAGTCGTAACAAAATTTATTTTGGCAAACCTCATCTCTATTGCAGTTTTGGAGGAAATTCAAAATAATACTCACTAACAAAAGCAAGTTTCCCGTATTTTTTGTAAACCACTAGCTTAATAGCAGAGAGGCTAATGATAAAATTGTGTGATAAACTGAATACAGGGGCCTAGTACTTGAGAGGTTGTTGGCGTATTATTACAACTTGCCTCTTGATTATTCGAGAATGCTTATTCAACTTGACGACTGTAACGAAGATTCCTTATAGGGCCGAATTGCTTATTGCTTTGGATTCTGCAAGACCTTTGAAAGTGAGTATAATGTTTTTCAATTAAGGTAATTATTATGTGTATATACTTATATATATACGCCGCACACAGTTAATGCATGGCTTCCAAAAGAATCAAAATACACTTTCCGCATGCTTTTTATTTTGCTTTTATGTAAAAGTGGAAGCACAAAAGCGATTTGCTCGTTGCTAGTGATTCACTGTATAAATGATGTGCGCATGACGCAGTACATTCAACCAACGTCGAGATTTGTAGCCTTTCCCCAACTTTAAGTCAACACAGAGTTCTGTTATTAAAGCCAGGCAACGGAATCAGTTGGCGCCTCGTCATCAACTCGAGTTGTTGCATACGCTAAAGATTACTTTAAAAAATACAAGTTTAAAGTCTTCAAAACATATTAATTTTACCATTTTGAAGAGTACAGCAAAGTGTTAGCTTTACTTTACCAGATGCAACCTGATGACTAATATTGGGTTGTGAGGGGATGAGGTGTCTGGTCTTGGGATAATCGAGCGGAACCTCATGGACCCTTTAACTGTGTCTCCAAAACGGCATTAGGAGCACCCTTGAATTGCCTACGCTGGAAGAATATTGACTTAGTAATGAGAGTTTACTGCTACATTCAGCAGACTTCTAGAAACCCACGAAGCCATCCCCGATGGCATGAATATCTTCCGCATTGTGAGTCACATAGGCTTTAAATTCGATTCAGTGAATGCTGTATCGCGTGTGCGTAAAGCTTTCTCTCAATCATAGCACCTTTTGTCTCTGAAAATTTTGCAAAAAATGCGCCATCTGCGACCCCATTCATATTCATCATTCTAGTTGGTTTAATCTACTACACTGCACACTTTGAAAGGAACTACCCATTTCCTAAGGTGTAAGCTTACTCAGACCGGCAAACACAAATCATCTTAGGTATTAATTTAGGGCATCTTGTCAAGCCAAGTGAAGCAATTTGTGAAACACGCACAATCCGTTGGGGGCATAGTCTGCTCACCACACTCCGAAGTCGAGGAGATGGGAGATAACGCCTCTGGCCGCGTCAGCCTTGCCACGCACTCGATTCATGAATGCGCATTTGAGTGTTTTCACCGCCTCTGGTCCTTATCTATAATTCGCGTTGAAAAAGAGAATGGCGCTCACCATTCTGTTCCGCGTTCTTGCATACGGCAAATATTCCTATAAGCATGGTGTTTAGTTCAAGGACTTTGACTTTTGAAGGTCTTCACACACGGCAAATAACCACTACTTGTAAATTCCGACAAAATTAACTAAAACAAAATTTAGTGGAATTTCCCAGAAAAACTGTTTTCTGTTCAACTACTCGCTATTCCTTCCTTTTTTGCAATTTCTCAGCCAGTGCTAATCAAATTGAACATGACAACGCATACTTTAAATAGCATGACCTGTAAGATGTTAAACCAAAATAATCTTTCCAAATTTTATTAGCGATCGCAGAATAATTACAGATGAGTGATATTTTAAAAGAGTTATCTGAAGATTTTTGGAAACAGTCTAAGTAACTCAGTAGGAACATGTGTAGTTCCATCTCTATCCTCTTCAAGATACCTAACAGTCCCTACACAGCACAAAGCATGTATTTTGTGAGGACATTTATGCAAGACAAGCAGAGCGTTTGTTTGCTTTAGGCTTGCGTGGAGCGCCAAGACTTCCCTCAAGACGAAAGAAGACATAATACTCGATTAGATGATGCATTGTCGACATACAAAAGGGCTTGGGTCTAATGGCATGACCCGGAGGCCAGGCCACCAGACAAAGGCATAATGGGAGACCCTCTAAGTAGCCTGTTACCAAAATCGAGAATTAAACAAGCAGTTCAAGCATTACATTTGCTCCTTCCTTATTGTTCGTTGAGTTTGGCTAAAGTGAGTTCCTGAATTCAATTTCCACACAACGTTCGGCAAAGCCAGTTCTCTTCACTCACGTGGAATAGAAAAGACAATTTCGGGTTCTGTAGAAATTAATATTTGGGCAGATATTTCGTCTGCTTGTCTAAAAGGGTGATATCTGTTGATTTGTGTGCATATAACAACTAAAAGGCCTACCCAGGCATTTTGTGTAGCTGTATTTAAGGCTAGATTTGACTGTGCAACACAACGCTTTTTCGCACCAACGAATCAAGGGATATGTGGCAGCTTTCCCGTGTCAAATACGCATCCGTTTCTAGCCCGTCAATGAGCACATTTTTCTTTAATAGTGCGAAAAAACGGCATTAAGTACGTCTGACACCTTCGGGACACCACTGTGTAGCACCCGCTACCTGTGTGACAGCGAGCTCGAATGCTTTTGCTAGCAGAATTACTTCTATGCAGTTCGTTCATCGCTTAAAAATAGAATGCAAAACATGTGAGGGCCCGAGGATAGCTGCTTGAAGTGCAGATGTTCCAATTCATTTATGAAAGTGGAGTCAAAGGATTTCGCGGACATCAGTTGCGCTTGTTGAGTGAATTAACCGCGCGAAGTTTTATGACAACATGAAGTTAAGTGACATTGGTCATGTACACGCACAATCCACACATTTATCGCAACTCATGCACGCAAGCTTCGACGCCAGTTCTTCTTACACTTATGGGGAAAATGGGCTTGGGATCTATGCTTGTGATTGGGGAAAGCAGAACTCTTGGAAGCATAACCCATTCCCAGATATGGCGAACGTGACTTTGTCGGCTTCTTAAACTATTTATTTTCGTTAAGCTATTCCATCCAAGTAATTTTCCTCTGAAGCGAAACACCACAATTTTGGAAAACCAGACGAGGAGCGGATCATGCGGTGCAAAAAGCAAGTAGGAAACAAGGCTAGGAGGCCTCATTCGACAAAATTAATTATGAGCGGTAAACTCGGAGACATTTTGAAGTAAAAGATGATTGTGGTAAAGTTCATGGGCATTGCAGTTTAAACAAATTAGTGGATCGAAAGAGTAACATTTTGGACAAAAAAGGAATTTCTACCAAAGAGATGTCTTCCTTTTGGTGAAGTATCTCAATGGCAGAAGTGCATTAAAGTTGGATTTTGTTGACATGCATAAGAGAGCTACTTCGATGGCAATATAAATACTGTTTGCTTTTTTATCAAGAGAGATTAAACAGCATTGACTGACCTTTTGGGGCCTTCTCTTTGGTGCCAGAAATGGCATTGTTGCAAGCATCGCATTAACCATTAGTTTAGATGTTTTATTTATAATTTTAAGCTAAAGTAACTTCCTGTTGAATTCCAGTAGCCAGTAATGGGTGCCAACAATCGACAGTTTAAAATAGCAATAAAAATATTTACATTCTCTTTTGCCACGTGAAGTAAATGCTGAAGGCCTTAGATTTGTGAGATGAAGCGAATTCAGATTTATGAAAGCGACTTTTTAAGTAATCACTTCTTTGTCAAAAAACGAAGAAAAATAATTACTACTTATTTGTTGATATACAATTTCCCATCGAATGCAAGCAAAGGGAACTGTTAGCTATTAGAAGGGTCGTCCCTTAGCACCAATTACAGTTATGCTCCCTTGTTTACTCAGATCGGCACAAATGGCAAATGCAGTATCTAGGCTTCGTGGAAGCTGACTGAGTCGAAGAGATGAACCCAAACCGTTTGCCCATAAATGCTACAAAGGACAATTGCAATTGGTCGGAGCAGTTGTACCTCCATTTAATTAATCAACCTTTGTGCATCCCTAAGCTCTGATTCTCCAATAGCCAGTCGATTTCAAGTTACATCTTAAGAAACACGCCCCTTAAAATATCATCACCTTATGTGAATAAGTAAAAATTATAATGAGTCAAGAGCCCAACACAGAGGCGGCCACAGAGGCTCGACGTAGTAAGCAAAGCAGATGGGACCACGGTGATGAATTTTCGCGCAACGGCCGCAGCAAGTCGAAATTCAGTCAGATCTACGAGTTGTTTATTCACTTTTGTGAGAACACGTCACTTCGAGGTGTACCACAAATTGTCCGCTCCTCCGACCGCAGGAATCGCTTGCTCTGGTTAAACTTTATTTCTATCTTTTTCATTGCATGTATAGCCTGCTTGATAATCACAACGAATCAGTACCTACAGTACAATGTGATCCATCAGCCAAAACGAATTTTTGATGCTCCTAGAGCGTTTCTCTCCCTAACTATATGCAATCTGCGCCCCTTCAAGTCGTCCGGTGTGGATCGTCTGATTCGCCAAGGGGCAGTTCCCGTGCAGGCCTACTTTGATGTCATAATGAAGGTGGCTTCGACGCTGGACAAGCGCTATGCCAGCCAATTCACGACGCTTTTTTCCCTCGAGTCCTATCTCCTAAATCTGCCCGAAGGCATGGATCCCAGCAATTTGGGCCACCGTCTCGAACAGCTGGTGCAAACGTGCGTCGTTCTTTACCAGAATGGCACGTTGATTAGGGGCACCGACTGTGGCAAAGCGGGCTACTGGGTTAAGACGCTGAACCAAATTTACCACAACTGCTACACCTATGAACTGGATCCCCAAATCCGAGACAAGACGTAGAGCGTGGAAATAGTGCTGTATCTCGACAACATAGTGGAGCACACGAGTTGCTTTGACTGCCAGGTAAACGGTTGTTGTGATTCTTAAAATATTTAGGTTAAAAAACTGTCAATAATCGTAATAAGGAGTAGTTGGCACCCCTTTTGGAATACTTTTTAATTAGATGTAATTAGCTAATACCTGGAAACTGTTTCGAGGTTATTCAAAGGGATTAAGCAACGAGGCGGGTCCCTCAAAATCGCAATAAATTGGCAGGCTTTGCTTAGCCGTCCATTCAGAGGCAGAAAATATCAAAAATGTCTTCTTGATTTACAATATCCGTTGTAGATTTATAAAGCAAGCCAACAAACTAATTGGTACCGTTAATTAAAATGCTTATATCCATTGTGCAGGGATTCCAATTTCCAGCATTTCCAAAATGTACTCTTTTCCTTTGTGTTAGAATAAGGCTTGTGTTTTACTGCCTCACAAAGTGTACAGCGGTGGTAATCACTAGAGTAACAATTTAAAATAACCGTTTCTTAAAACAACTTGCGTTTTAAACTTATCAAAGTGGGGCGGGCGCAAATTGGCAATGCAAATGCGATCAAAATATATCTCCTACGTGCAGACAGATGGCTCCACGAAAGGGATCATAAATACAACCCATGACATCAACGTCTAAACACGACTATGCATACAATAATACACGATTCACCAGAAAGGCATTTCTTGAAAAATAAAACATGTCGATTCTTCGAAAGTTTGGTTCGACTTGAAGAATGGTAAGAAATGTTGATCAGATACTTTTTCCTGCCTGCTACAATTGCACAGTGCATCCATTTATTGCCTGAACGATTGCCTTAAATAGTGAATTTGAATGTTTACCTACCTATTAAAGCCTTGATGAAGCTCTTTTAACTGCTTACACCTTCTCCTTACCGAATTCTTTTTCAGTCTTCCAACTTTTATTGACAACAATTGCAGTCAAAAGGTTGGTTTTTACTGCTCTTCTTCTTGTAATGGCTCTTATATGGACTTGCAAGCACTATGATTTATCAAAGCACCTTTATGTCCTAAGATTCCTCATTATGCTAAACAGTAGCTGTTGAATTAGATGAGTGCAAGAGAAGCTCTTTGAATCCATAAATGAACTTCAAGAGGAAGAATTTAGGAAGGAACTTCCTCAGTGTGATTAGTAAAAGATCGATGTCTGACAGAAGTGGATGGCGAGGGTACGCTTCAGGACTCATCTAGTGAACATCAAGCGGTCGCGAATCGCCTACAATATCACCCCTCGCGTTAAAGATCATAGACAAAACAAAATAAGCTGTCAACTTTCCCCGCTTTTGCATCTTACTCCAATACTGTTGCTTACTAAAACTATTTATTTAAAGTCATCATTTCTTTTTCGAAAGGATCCGGGTAAGAAAAGACTGGACAGATGTCAGAATACACCCATAAAACTCACTCAACTGTAGACTGGCTGTCGGGCACCCTGTATCCGATACAGCTATGCCATGCAAATCTCCACCGCTCAGTGGCCCACCAAACGCTTTGTCACCAACTTTGCTAACAATGTGAGTGTATTGGAGTCAAATTTTCCCGTTAGCCAGCCCCACCGGAAGTAGGTGTGGCAGTACAGCTTTTACGATTCACGTTGTTATAAAGGGGAACCGATGCTGACGTTAGAAAGTATGAATGACGCAGTGCTGAAGTAATTATGTCGTTGTTATTGTCATTCTCAGTATCACAAAATCTTTCCATTTTTTTGCTGAAGACACACTCGGCAATTCTATGTACTTTTTACAAGATGTTTTTGTATAGAATATGAAACACTCGCCACCACAACTGCTATTCGCATACGTCGATGCATAACACTAATAAAAAACAGTTACTCAAATACTGCTGTTTCATATTCAATGTTATAAGGCATTAAAAACTTCACTTCTACCCATCGGGGTGTTAAGCCTAGTGTCTGTCATTTGTCAATTCCCATAAACTCAAATAATTAACTTTCACTATTACAAAAATTGCTGGTTTTGGTTCACCGCGCTCTAAATTTTCCCTTTTATGTTAGCCCCATAATTGGATTAATTGTACCCACTGGTCATAACAAAGCATCATCCGCGTAGGTCTGGTGGCTCCTTGCCTTTCAGCAACTACATCGTAGGAAACAAACAGCTAAGCGGCAAAGTAAAAGCGCCAATTTCGAGGGCAGCTACGCGAAGCAGGAGGAAGATGAGAGCCGCTTTGTGGAGCTCCTAAGACCCTACGCTGCGATACACAACATGACCACCAACGGCAAAGAAGTGGAGGCTGTAGATCTTCTTATGCATATGCAGGACGTGGAGCAGAACTTCCTCTCCATCATTGTCTCTCGCCCGAACTTCGACATCATCCGGGCGGAAGAGAAAGCGGTGGTGACTCTGACCTCTTTATTTAGCCAGATAGGCGGTCTCTTGAGTATCTGGGTGGGAATAACAATGATTTGCATTGTTGAAGTGGCTGAATTTCTTCTCAACTGTCTCGACGTACTGTGTGATCGGATACACTGATTTCTTTGTAAATCTGCGTTTTTACGTAAGGAGAAATTACATTTGTATTGTTGAACGAAGCACAGGTGTTTTTAAAGGAAAGTTAAGCGCAAGTTTTAGCGTAGAGCCAAAAACTCAAAGATTGTTCGAAGAGATGATTTATAACCAGCCTAAATACCCTAGCAATAGTGCGGAGTTAAATATTTACTCGTTTAACGGCGAATCTATCGTTGCGTCGGTTAAAACGATGGAGGAATCATCAAAACTCAAAACAAACAGCGCAAAGATGCTACACGAGGAAAAGTATTTGGGAAGTAATTTGTATAAGAGCATTTCACAAACTTAATTCCATTTTAGGATTAAGGCAATTTTATTCGTCTCGTTATAAAATCGTCAGGTGAAAGATAAAGAACAAATTTACCTGCAAATCACTCCAAGGAAAAGGAACCAACTTCTTTTACTAATACCGGCCGTTTCAAAGTAGTAGAAAATTAAATATATGGAAGCATAGTATGAAGAGTCCTTCCTAGTTTGATGGTAGGGAGTTCATAGAGGATATGAACCACGTAAATAGTTGTTGGAGTTCGAGTTCAGTGACAGCACTGTGGGCATACACGTTCCCTGAAGAAACATGTCGCAGTTCATGTCAAAAGTGAAATTAGTTAATCAGTATCTCAACTTCGACTAGTTGATTCATAAGCAAAGGAATTCATGCTGAATTTATTTTCGAGTCGCGTGAAATTGGGAAAAATTGCAAAAGAAGCCGAACGACTGTGATTTTTACGTGTGACACATCAACTGACTTCGCGACTTTAGAATCTGCATCTGCCTTAAGGCAGCACACACTTATAGTAAGATACTCATACAGTTTTAAAGCTATACAAGTGACGTTTTTTGCATAATTTAAATTGGTGAAGCTCTCAGTCGCCCATGCAAGGCAAATATTGTTCCGTTCAAAAGAATGAATGAATCCCTTAACCACATGACTGTATTGGTTAAACACTCCCGAAACAGCGAAATGATCCGCGAATTGTCCGTCAGACAAAAACATTCACTTTTAATATACAAGCTGAAGGTAGTACAGAAAAATTAGAAGGTTCTGAAGGAAATGTTTAACAAAAAGGTTTTTGCAGACTGAACTACAGTTCTGGCATTGATGAGGACAAATCTGGGGTGTGTTTGCATGAGGCAAAGACGGAGATGAAAGAAATTACAAGCTTTTAAGCTTCACTATTCCTACGACGCATCGCGCCTATTCGCAGTCTTCGCCAATTTCCCGATAGAAGTTGCTTACGTCCAGAACTTTGATCACCGTCTGGAGAGGCTGCATTATCAGGCACACCAACAGACACAGTGTCACTATTAGTAATGATGTTCACCGAATCTGTCATAACCAATAAATCATAGGCAACGGTTGTTTTCTCATCTTTTCCAGAAGCCAATTCTAAAATAACGTCCAGCTTTCCCAAACCCCTTTCCTCATCCTCCTCCGCTTCCATCTCTTCTTCTTCATTCTCTTTCTCCCCCTCTTCTTCCTTCTCTTTATCCTTTTCATCTTCTCCCTCCTCTTCTTCCTTCACGTCCTCTTCTTTTCCCTTTTCTTCCTCCTCTTCCTCCTCCTCCTCCTCTTCCTTCTCCCCTACTTCCTTCCCTCCTTCCTCCTCATCTTCATTAACTTTCACTTCCTTTCCTTCTTTATCCTCCTCTTCCTGCCCTTCGTCCTCCTCCTCTTCATCCTTCTTGTTCTCCTCACTTCCCTCTTCCTCCTCCTTTCCTTCATCATCCTCTTTCTCCCCTTCCTGCTCCTTTTCTTTCTCTACTTTTCCTTCCTCTTCATTTCCTTCTCCCCTCTTCTCCTCACCTTCCTTTCCTTCCTCTTCATTCTCTTCTTCTTCATCCTCCTCCTCCACTTTTTCTTCCTTACCCTCTTCTTCCTGCTGCTTTCCCTCTTCTTCCAAATCTAATTCTTCATCTTCCTTTTCCACATCTTTCTCTATTTTTTCATCATCCTCCTCGTTTTCTTCATTCCCTTCATCCTCTACCTCATTTCCCTCTTTTTCCTTTTCTTCCTCCACCTTTTCCTCCTCCTCTTTACCTTCTTCTTCTTCATCCCTCTCCTCTTTGTTTCCCCCTTCTTCCTCTCCTTCCTCTTTCACCTCCTCTTCCTTTCCCACCTCTTCCTCTCCTTCCTCCTCCTCCTCCTCCTCCTCCTCCTCCTCCACCTTCTCTCCTTTTCCCTCCTCTTTCTTCTCTTCTTCTCCCTCTTCCTCCTCTCCCTTCTCTCCCCCTTTCTCTTCTTCTTGTTCTTCCTCTCCATTCTTCACCTTTCCCCCTTCTGACCCTTCCTCTTCTTCTTCTTCTTCCTCTTCTTC